TCAAGAGTGCGCTCATAATCGATCCAAGGTAAGAAAATCTGGTTGTCTGTGAAAGTTACGTGAATGTTACATCCCTTTTACTTGCATGTCACACATGTTACATGCATGTTATTTACCTGTAACGTGCATGTCACACATGTTACATGTATGTTACATTCATATTACATGTGTGTTACGCAAATGGTACATGTGAACTGCTGATCAGCACATGTTTACACTGAATTCAACATATTCGAATGCCATTATGATTATTTTGAAGATTACCAGGTCTCTTGAAAAAATTTAAGAATTCCCCACGAATCCAACTTTATAGACTGAGAATTGGTTCAATTATGATTTTTAGAACAATTCAACGATTCCACATTCTTTTCTCATCTTTTCATTCATCAAAAACAGGATTTTTGTTAACAGGTACACAAAAATCTACTGATTTCTCAAAATGCAAATCATGAAGTAAGTTAATTGGGTAGGTGCTTGAAAAGTGTAATATGTATTAATTAAAATCGATAGAACAATCAGAACTTGTATGAGAGAGAGAGACACTTACATTCCAAGGTTCATGGTAGATCACGCTGTATATTCTACATTGAACAAAATTATGAATTTTCCAAGTTCCTCATTAGAATAAGAGTTCAATCGGTTTTGGTGTATCATCCTGTATGTTTAATTTTTCCTGTTTAATAAGATGTCAAGGCTCCTTCTCAAACATCACTGAAAGGAGATTGATTTATTTCTCAAACATTATCTATCAGCAAGATTGTGAAGTTTGTTGTCACCCTGTTCAACCAGATATATAATAATTTTTCAACAACGACCTACTAGTAGTTTTACCAATATACATACAGTGTCATTCATAAAATTGACATCATATGGGAATGGGAAAAACTTTTAATAATAATTTATTCCTCAGTCGGATTCACGTCAAATTTTTTTTCAAATTGATCGCTGAAAATATGCTTATTTGTTGCAATCTCAAAAAAGTTTACTGAAAAAAGTTGTTTTTATTTCAATATAACACATCTGTCTCGAATTTGAACATTCTATTACAACATTTAGCTCTTGATATCTCTTGATTTCTTCTAATTATTGTACTTCGACAAATCTGTCCAAAACTTTGTTTGGATACGTAGTTTGATGATATTTTGATAGATGACTGGCATCATTTTGGTACTAAAGAAGTCAAATTAAATGAAGAATATACCGAAAATCACGTGACGTCTAGTCAATTTTTAATATTTTTCGAAGCAAAACTTGAAGCCCAAGTCGAATTTCAAGATAAATTATTATTGAAAGTTTTTCCCGTACGATGCCTGCCGTATGTATCTTCAAAATTAATGAAATTTCATCCGAATATGCGAAATGATCCCGAATATATCCAATATTTTATTTAGTGCCAAAATTCGTTGGTTGCGGTTCATCTGTTGTTAAATGTATATCACACCTGTTACATCCATGTCACACGGATGTAACATGCATGTCACACATGTTACATCCATGTTATACGAATGTTACATGTTTGCAACATAAATTTTTACTCAGTTGCCGACCATCCATCCACGAAATGCTGGACCACCCGTGGATCTCGCTGAAGAGCAACATCCTCCCTGCCCTCGCCACCCCCAACACGACAACGACGACGACGACAACGACCACGAAGCCGTGCGGCGGCGACCATCCCCCCCTCACCGTCGCCCCACTCACTCCCAAATCGACGCCTGTCAGCCAGCGCAAGAGCTTCTCCTGCCTGACGGACTCGCCGAAAACGGCGGCCCGCAAGGCCTTCCTCACCGACACCCTCAACGGCACCGCAGTCCGTACGTACAGCGTTTCCGCTAACTGTCTTTGTCCGCAGTGCGGCACCACGTGTCGACACATCACGCACACGCCCGTCACCAAAACCGCCATCACGATCGATCGGGGCATACTGTGTTAGCTGGCAGCGGTTGGGGGGTACTTTTTTGGGTCGGTTTTATCGCTGGAGGGGAGGGTTAACGTGTTTTCTGCGGTTTCGCACGGTTGTTACATGGATGTTACGTGAATGTGACATATATGTTATATAGATGTTACCTGGGCGTTCATAGTTGGTACGTGCATGTTGCATTGATGTAGCATCATGTAATGCTGTTTTTTTTTCAGTTTCAAGTTGCGCCAACCTTTCATGCTCATAGTTGATGACTGAAGTTAATTTTGTTCGTGAATACAGGGTGATTACATTTTTTTATCGAAAAATAATGAGGTCAGTGATCAATTTTCGATAAATATTAAGGAGATTGTATCCCCATTGTATGGTTCGTTGGTACACTACAGGGCGATATAGTTTATTCAAAATATCTTGGAATGTACATATCAGTAATATTTCATATTAGGACCATTCGATTACATGCAAAAACGTATACAGTGGCATCGATAAATAAAGGTGCACCTAACGAATTTCACTAAAAATCATTTTTTGATCTGATAAATGTTTTTTATGAAAACAGATATAATCCATTCCAAAAATGTAACTGATATTTAATGATATTTTTCGTGAAAAAATTCGAGCACCCTGTAGAATGATCAACATATTTTTGAAGTCAGTAATTTGACAAGAAAGCGTGGGTGGTGCTGAAAATTGGTAACACTGTAGATGTTACATAAATGTACATAGATAATGTATAGATGTTACATGAACGGTATTTTGAAGGCACATGGACTAGTAATGTCGTTTTTCTAAAAAAAAATACAGTATTTTTCAACAATTATTATTGTTCAGTACATTTCGTCAAATTCCTTTTTTATTATAATTAACTTATATTTATTTTATGTTACCTCTTGGACAAAGCTCAACAAAATTGAATCGATGACTAGTTTGTCTTACACTATCCATTGGTAAATGTTGTTTTTGGGACTCAGTAACGGTGTTACATGAAAATTACATGGATGTTACGAAATTATCAAAAATACCTCCCTTGCAGCATGGAACCGATTTATTTTGTTTGGCTTTCTCAATTCCATCATATTTAAGTTACAGAGAGAACTTTATTTGTGCTGTTGTTGGGATGTACAGTGCTACTTGTATTTAAGTATGAGTAATTTATATTCTTTTGTTGCTTTAATTTACTTTAATTGGTGTGTACCTAAATAAAGTTATTGTTAATTTCAACATTTATTGGTTTTATTTTGGTCCTTTATTGGGTTTCTTTGGTATTTTTTAATTTTTGCTATTGCCGAGGTAAGTGAATGTTTTTTATGGAATTCTACTGTTGCGAAAATCGTGAATGCAAAAACCCTACTATTTATTTTTATGGTTTGTTGGTAGGGTACCAATATATTTGATACTTCAAGAAATATTTTGCTTTTTATCATATTAATTTTCATTACTTGCTTTCATCTGCTTATCAGTGTCGTTCCAAAGTGTTGCTGTCGCCAGGTGAACATTTTTGTGTACAATTTTCGAAAATTACCATGTCCATTTTTTTTTTCAGATTATACCCATAACGACGAAGATTGGTGTTTTTCATGACAAAAAATTTTAAAATGTACAAATTTTGTATTTGACTGGTATTACTGTAAATGAACATGCTTTATACTTGAATTGAATAAACTTTTATTAACAGGTGTTTTACTATAAAATATTTGTGACCTGTGTAAGTACAATATAAATATAGGTGTTTTTACTATTCAATTTTGTGCTATTGGGGCGCAAGTAGATAAGTACTACTAGTTTTTTTTTCTCTTCAAAATACAGGAATCTATGATCTATGTATGTACAGTGGCAGAAAAAACGTGAATACTGACAAAAATACACAAAAAGCAAACTCCAAGTCATTTTCATAATAGCAATAATGCACTATGAGAAGGCTATAGAAAGGTACATTTTTTTGGGTTTTAACTCAGTTTTAACAATGAGTCAGAGCCTACTACCGTTTTTTCGTATACTGAAATTATGCTCTCAATCTATCCTTGCTTGATGAAATATGATTGATAGAGCCAAAGAACAAGCATTAAACATTCAGTGCAAAAAATGTTCAAGCCCCTTTAAGGACCTGATGACCATTATTTATAAAACGAAAACACAGGCAACACACCACGCACCAAAATAATGTTGGTAGAACTGATCACGTTTTGAGATGTTTTTGATCATCATCAGTGACACCAGTGACCTGCAAGTGTTTAGCACGTCGTGCTAAATTTCACTCGTGCGAAATATATCACTTTCCACATTAGTCATGTAGCTAATAATAGTAATAATATTAATACCCTATTTTGAATTACGTTTTTCAAATAATTATCAGTTCTACCAACCTTGCTGTCACGTATCGGTACCGCCATCTATTGGAAGAATATAGATTTTTTGATAAAATAAGCTTAAATCCCTAGGGAGGACATTGATGACAGACTGATAATTTTATGACAATGGAAACAGATCGAAACCTCGTTTCATGGTAAAAGCTCGAAGCCTAAGGTTGAAAACATACCCACAGTGACACAGTGGAGTAGTTCTACACTCAGCTTAGTGCTCAGTGTATATATATATCCTTGTTCCTTGTCCTCATTGAAGAGAGATGAATATAATATATATATTTGGACATACTGACAATGACAAATGACTAATGAAAGCGTATATCTATGACTATTAGTTCCATGCAATCAATGTTCTCTGTTTAAGTGAAAACTGACATTTGAACTATTGGAAGTTTGAAGTTTGTAAATAAAAATTCTGTAAGTGGGGATGATCAAAATTTGGTTCATTTTCCAAGAATGAAGTGAAATAAATATTGATTGTGATATAAAAATCACATAATTACTCACATAAGTACTCATTCTGTCAAGACTCGTTGTTTTTGATACAGTTATAGGTCAGTCTCTTTTTACTGAAACAGGAAAATCAATACCTTCCACCTACTGGACTACATAATAATCACACATAATGCTAATCGTTTCTGAAACGATTTCAATAATACACTTTCCACTAGGGAGAAGGTGAAACGTGCTATCTTCGTTTTTTCTCATTTCAGACAATGTACAATGGAATAGGCTTAGCAACTCCCAGAGGATCTGGAACCAATGGTCATGTACAGCATAATTGGGCCCTAGTTAAACCCACTGTCAGAGACAAAACTTATAAGACCGAACAGGAACTAGCTACCCTAGATACTGCATCACATAAACCACCTAACAAGGAGATTTTGGATCATGAACGAAAAAGGAAGGTTGAACTTAAGTGTGCAGAGTTTGCAGAAATACTAGAAGAACAAGGGTAGGTACTGGGGTACTCTAGTATTGGGTACAGTGAGAATCAGACTATTGTTGGATGCATTCATGCAAACAACTGTTGAATTAAGTCCTTATTGAAACAACTCATACAGTATACACCCTTAGGAACTAATAATAATTACTGTTTTGGAGAAACAAAATTGTATAAAATGTTTGTAAATTGATTTGTACTGATTTTTATTTCAGATTCAGTGAAGAGGCAATTACCAACAAGGTGAACAATTATCGAAATATGCTGATGGGACAAGGAGGAAAATTAGAGAAGCCACTGGATGAATGGGGAAGACCAAGGTGAGTTCTTGTATTATTGATATGCTGAGTACTCTTGCTGTGTTTTTGATGTGGTCCATTAAGATCATGTATTTTTATACATTTTTCACTTCAATCCCATTTTCATTTCAATGCTTATCTTGATTCAATCTACATGACTGAAACATTATTTAGTTGAAACTGTCTTCATTCCTGATCATAGTTTCATCTGCCTTTTTTCTATTTCACTTTTTATGACTAAATGATGAAAAAATCTACTCTATAACCTCATTTGTCCTTTGATTATAATTCTCAATCTAATATTCCTTATTTTTATAATTTCATATCATAAACAACAACAGAATACTTGCTATAGGTTCACTCATAAAAAAAAATAATTTGTCTCAAATTTTCTGAAAACTGTTTTTTTTTATAAACTTGGATACAATTCAGAATATTATCGATAAAATATGCTTGCATCTGAGAAGAAATGAAACTTTTCAGGACAAAGTTAATGAATTTAATATATTGAAATAAAACAACTGATTGCATTTAATTAGAATGTTCTCTATATTTCTATAGCTGAGCTCAATCCTGTACCTATTATACAGTGTGTTCCTTATTAATATGCTAATATTCAAGGGGCTGATTATTCCACCCAGTTCAAGAAGTAAACTTTATATAAACTTATCTTGTAAATGTCCTAACTTTTGAGATACTGGGTGTCAATGTTGAAAATATGCATAGATTCTTTTTTGTCCACCCTGTATCTTTTCCTGATGGCAAAATTCAGTCTGCTATGTGACTGAATCAGTTTGAAAATTTCAAATTGTTACATACTGTGGTCATCAAAATTTGAAGTTTGTTCCTGTTTTTCCACTAAAATGTGTGATCTATGGAGCATCAGCTGGGGAATATTTTCTGTACATAATTGAATAGCATTGTAGGAAATTGAAAATTTTCCATAATTGCTCACTTTTATGACATACATTCATATGAAGTTTTCTTCTTTAAATGAGTCAAAGAATCACCTTCTCAAATATTAACATGTCTTTACTTTAAGGAACACCCTGTATTTTGTCCCTACATGTACACTTGCAAAATACAAGAAAATCTTGTTAGGTTGATGGTGTTGAATATTTTTGTGTTGAGAGGAAATGTATTTTCATTCACCATACATATATACATACATACACATACATACAGGGTGACACAGAATCATGGTATACTCCCCTTTTTCTCCTTTGTCTTTGTAGTTGTATTTCTGGAATTTGCACAACATTGAATATGTTCACTTAAGGGCACTTTTTCACATTTCAGGATTTTTTTTCATCGCCGGTTTTCCTGGATATCACATCAACTTTAGATTTTCAATTGGACACCCTGTATTGTTTCTATAATCGGTTAGGGGTTATTATAACGAATTCAACAATACCAGGTTTGATTGGGTTATTTCATAGGATTGCAAAGATATTCACATTCGAAGTTTCCATATGCTCAATGAGTGTGACAGAGAAAGATGTTTCAATATTGCGCCGTCACAACCATTGAGCGATCGCGAATATTTTCGTAATCCATTGAAATAATGCAATCAAACCCGGTTCTGATGAATTCGTTATAGTAATCCCTAACCGATTATGGAAAAAATACGCCCCATTCGAATATAAGGAGTTGGTGTCATTTCCAGGAAAACCGGAAGATGAAAAAAATGTGAGAAAGCCCTCTAGTGAGCCTATCAGATGTTCCAAATTTCAAAAATATTGCTAGAAAAACAACATAGATAAGGGTAGTATACCATGATTCTGTGTCACCCGGTATAATTTACATCTATCTATATTGGGATGAGTTCTGAGTGTATCCAATATTTTGGTATTTATACAGGGCATTTCTATGAAAGTGGAATTTCTACTGCCTAAATCTTCTGACATGACATACAAAATAATAATAAAGCTGGTTATTACTCCAGTTTATTTTTTTTTGTAATATAAATGTAAACAAAATATCATTATTGTTATTATACTTATGTTGAATAATGGAAAGTTTCTCCCAAACAGAAACTCATAGACGATATAATTTTTTCTGACCCTGATTTACGATTTTCTCAAAAAATGATGAATGCATTCTTGCTGAATCCCAGCATATTATGCAAAACGACTGCGTCGCTACAATGCCAACGTTATCCTTTCTAATAATATCGATTTCCTCCACGTCCTTGCATCGGAAGCTGCGCGTTTCCTCACCCCCTCCCTTCTCACTCCCCGTCGTCCACCCCCCCCTGAAAAGCCACCCCATTGCTACCCTTTCATCTCGCCTATCCCCAGTACCGAGCAGAGACGGGTCCTGGCAGGACCTCCGGAAAGTTAATCCGGAAAATCTCCCATTGAAATGTGACCGAATCGCGCAATTACCGAAAATCCGAACGTCTTCCATGTAAACTTAGAGTTTAATATCGAAACTAAGTCTTCCAATAGTAGTCGTAAGTCTCGGGCGGCAAAAAGAAGAATTTCGGCTTGCCCCCACCTAGGAATAGTCTTTCAGGATACGTTAGTTCTAGCTATTTTGAATCTGTACACGGATATCAGAGAAAACTCCAGAGACGAGTTACAATATTTATCTGAAGCAGTTATATTTGTATTAGATTGAGATTTATCATACCATAACTCAGAAGAAAACCAGTTAATCTGATCACGTGACATTCATAGAATCCATCATTGGTTGCAACCAGAATTTAGCAACTACCCACACAATATTGAAGAATTGGTGAAACGAACTCAGAAGCAACATTTCTGGATATTCAATTTGAATTATTGTGATAATTATCCTTTGCTTCCTCCACGCAGATATAGTCTTAAATAGTTTAAGTTCTATTGAATTGTTACCTGAAGAAGAAAACACTATAATTATTGAACCAACAAGAAGCAAGTGAAAAGTTTCTTTATATGTCTGAACCAGTGACATCCAAACTTAGAAAAAGTTGAGCTTTTTACTCAACAATCCAGAGAAGAATCGTGTTGGTTCATTGACAATAAACAATCAAAATATTTTTATTGGTTGAAACCGTATTCAGAATCCATATAAGAGTGGTGAAAACACAGAAGCAACATTATTGGTAAATCAATGTATATTATAGAATAATAATTTGATGATTATTTCTTAGAGATAAGAATATAAAACTGCAAACCAAACCTACAAAGAGAATCACAATATTTTCTCAAACTAGTTGAATTTATGTAAGATTAGAAAAGGTGCTCAGAAAAACATATATTTGCTATATTGATTAAGGAAAATCAGAAAAATAACTAACCAAACCTACAAGTATCCAAAGGAAAATCACAATATTTTTTGAACCAGCGACATCGCGTAGAATTAATTGGAAGCAGAAACAAATAGGTGCTCAGAAAAAAGTGCCCAAGCCCAACTAATAACGAGAAGCATTCCTGAATTAACTTGGATCTGAACTACCACCAATGTATCAGAACAATCCGCTACATTATGGATCCGAAGCTCAGAAAAAAATGCTCGATCTACCCTCCAAAAAATCCTATTACGGGCAAAACGTCTTCACGCAAAACTACCATCGACATGTTCAGAAAAAAAATCGCGTGGCTCAGAAAAAAACCGCTTACGCTCGTGGCTATCAACACCAAATCGGCTGCTACCCGAACGCTGGTCGGTATAAGAAAAAAACAGGGTTTCCCCTGGACAATGCGGGCGTCTACAATGTAGATGAAAAGGCCATTTTCGAACGTCTTTGGAAGGGGGCTTTGTATCAGACCTTCAAGGGTAGGGCGGCCGTCCTAAGACAGCAGCAGCAGCAGCAACAGAAGAAATGCTGCTGTCATTGTCAGTGCGGAGATCACGTGACAGTTGGCGGTGGTGGTCAAAGGAAAACGATGCGGTCGATGGTCAGGTAACTATTCTCAGAAATTTATTTTATTTATTTATTTATTTAGAAAACAAGGTTATCCAACAGAGAAACTATATAAATAGTCCTCCCAATGACAGGATAACACAGTGATACAAAATTATTGTCTTCACATGGGTTGCACCTACATCTCGACCTACATACTATCATTTAAAAACTAAGTACCTACCTATTCCATAACTTTCATTCAAAAATAACAATCTGAAGAGAAGACAGTAACGTCGGTATATACAATATCAGCATATATGAAATATACATGGGTATAGTATTTTGACACACACTAGAAAATTACAATTTCGATATGACTTAAGTATCATAAATGAATGAATACCAGCACTATTTCTATATTTTTATATTCAAGGAATACTATAAAAATTTAACAAGAATTCTCTCAGTTGTTTCTTGAATCTTTTGATATCAAGGTGAAATATATCAATATTAGAGTGGCAAATTGTATTGTATGAGTTCATACATCTTATTAGAGGTGAATTACTATAATAATTAGTTGAGAACGAAGGTGGGTAGAAAGTGAGTCTATTCCTAACCATTCTAGGATTACAATTCAAGCTCAGGAATCCAGTGCATGCTGTTGAATCAATATGATTGTTGAAGATCTTGTAAATGAATAATATATGTCAACGAAGTCTCTTCTAATGAAAAGATTCTCTATTCTATAGAAACGCAAGTTGCTCTCATAGCTCATATAGTGACGGAAGCGGAAGAATCTATAGTTCAAATTGTTGACCAATTTGTTTTGAACATGACAGAACAGAAATGAGACTTTTGCCTAATCCTTAATAAAAAATTGGTCATTTTCGATGACGTAACTGTCAGAAGTTGGGATAATCACCTGATGTTCTTGTTAACAGCTAAAAGAAACCCTGGACCACAGGATTATCTGTAATTTCTTCTAACTTCTTCACAAAGAACTGTATTTCTAGAGATATAAGTTTAGTAATAATATCAAATTTCTTAATATGTACAGGGTGATTCACCATAAATGTCCCTTTCCTCTAGCTCACTTATTTCTGAACCGATTCCAATAGTTATTTAACCAACTAGTGTATCAATGAGGGCGAATAATGATCGAGATATTTTAACGTGCGAGCGAAGCGAG